AAGTTTCCCTGTAGTTTTTGGTAATTCTCTTTGAGCTCACCAAGCTTCCTTAGAACTGTTGTATTGAACTCAGTATCTAATACTTGACTAGCCTCTATTTCACTTAATTATCTTTGTGGAGATTCCTCCATTCCCTTCAATTGGGTGGTGCTTCTTTTTCTTCCCATTTTTTGTGAGACTCTTCTTTTTTTGCTTCTGCTTCTAAAATGACCTATCTCGACTTTCTGACTTTGTGGTGTGAACTTATATGGTAGGAGACCGCTTTTTTTTCCCCTTTCTTTCTCCCTGGATATGGCTCTGATTATATCAGCTGTTGACCCCAACTGAAATTAGGCAGTCTGTTCAAGACCTCTGGGAATCTACTGTCTGTGCCTGTCTCCTCCAGTTGTCAATCTAGTCACTCTGCCCTTAGCAGTCAGGGTGGGGCATAGTCCCTCCTGTGGGAGGGGCTATTGTGTCCTTTAACAGTGCTGCCACTTAGGGATGTGGTCTTCCTGAGGAAGACGGCTGTTGCCATATGGGGGAGGAGTCATCACTGGGATCCCCCTGGCTACTCCCTCAGTTCTCTCTCCAATGTCTCCATTGCCAGACTTTCCTCAAACGTCTCTAGACTACTCTGTATACCCTTCAGCTAGGTATCTACTATCTGTGACTGCTGCTCTGTACTGAGCACTGAGGCCTGTGCACTGCCTGGCCAGTGCTGAGTGTACTGCGAGTGTGGCTAGTGTGTCCTTTCATGTTGCTGCTGCTCGGGGGAGTGGTCTGCCTAAGTAAGATGACTGCTGCAGAACTAGGGGTGAGTCAGCACCGGGACCCCACCATCCACTTTCTCAGTTCTTTCCCCAAAGCCTCCTTCCCCAGTCTCTCCTCAGGCAGCTCCAGCCCACTCTGCCCCTACCTCTGTCTGAGCCCAGGGTAAGTGGCTGCCAGTACACATTTTTGTGTTGGCCCTTTAAATGGCTCTTTGTGTCTCCAGCCACCTGTCTCTGGCAGAAAGCACACTGCAGCTTTTCACAGCCTGTTGTCTGTGTTCTTTTTGGGCTCTGGTGCTGTAGGGTGGAGATTCCCATTTATGGCTTAGATCCCGCTCATCTCAGGGGGATCCAACTGGCCCTTTCAATATCCTTCTGGTGCTACCACCCACGCGTGCCCTGTCCACCTTCCTGAGTCTCTACTGCGCTGCTTACCAGTTCGTTTGTGCTAAAGCCAATTCCTTTGTCTGACCAAGGTTTTAAGGCTCTTCTCTCCCTGTTGTTCATTTGTTTTCCAGGTGATTTCTCCACAATTTAGGTGTAATTCCAGATTGGTCCTGGGAGGAGGTCAGTGTGACTTCCACTCACTTCTCCACCATATGAAGTCATGGGCTCTCTTCCCTTTCATTGGTCAATCTTTTGTGTGAGCATATGTGTTAGTACCACACTATTTTAGGCAGTAAGATACTATAGTGTTTTATATGTTAGCTTATTTTATGTCTACTTCCATGACTTTTGTATTTCTGCATTTTCTAGTTACTCTCATGTTTATTTTTTTACATGAACTTTATCAACTTTTCAAACCTCATGAAGTATTTGCTGTTACTTTTATTGAGATTGTGTTGCATTTATAAATGGACTCAGGGAGATAGGACATTGAGTCATCCTATCTAGAAATAAGAAATATTTAAATCTACTATTGTGTCTTTCAGGAATAGTTTAAAGGTTTTTTTATATTATTTTTGCACATTTCTTGCTAAGTTTATTCTAAGAAAAGTTGCCTCTCATTTTTTATGGATTCCACATTTGTGAATTCACCTACACACTAAGATTTGTTTGTAACTCCAAAATGAATACTTAAGGCATTTGCAGATATGTGTATGCTGTGTTAAAAATGTGACTCACCTTTCTTCCTTCTTTCAGCTTTGTGTAAAAGACTGTCCTTTCATTAAAAGGCATATTTAGTTCCATGTTTTTCATGTTTCTGTGCTTCCTGTTGATTTCACTGGTTAAATGTCCCCTGAATGTTGTGTTGAAGTGCTGACTAGAGTTCCTATGTGCAAGTGGGCTCTGAGGTGAATTACAAATAAATTATGTGTGAGATTAAGCTTCATTCAGGTATGAGTAATAGTACTGTTGGCCATGAGTTCTATGTAAATGAATCAACAACACAGATTAAATAAGGTATCTTTAAACAGAAACTCACATAAAAGGCTACATATTGATCAGTTGGTGGAAATGAAGTGACCAGAGGCTTTCAGGATTCTAGCCCTGTTCTTCTCCTAAGGACAATGATTTAATATTTGCTAAATTTAGTATTAGAAGGGACTTTATAGAATATAACTGCCACAAATAATGAAAATTTACTATATTTTATTTGTTGTTATAAATGAGGCTTTCTCTATCAGTATACCTTCTAATTAATCATTACTTGGGTACATGAAAGCTACTGATTTCTGTATATTAAATTTCTATCCTGCCATTTCACTGAGTTATTTTTGTTTGAATTAGCACTATCATAGATTCTTTCAGGTTTTTCAGGTATACTTTATCACATGCAAATATTTTACTTCTTCAATTCCATTTCCTTGATTAATTTCTCTTGTCTTAATTGTGTTGGCTATAACTCCTCCCCTCCTTTCATAAGGACAGCTTTTCATCTATGTGGAAATGCTCTGAGTTGATAATGGACTATGTCATTGATCCTTAGATTCCTGGAGTTGAACTTAGAGGCAGTGTTGGCTATTCTGTTGCTTGATGCATGGATCTTTTTTTGTATCACTCAAGTGGTCATCCAGTCTCTTCTTGAACACCTGTTCCCTTTCTTTCACTAAGAGCTTATCTCTCTGTTTCAGGGAGAGACTACCTTGTACCCATTCCAGATAGTTCTGTATGGCTGTCAATCACTTCATCCTGATGTCCTGCTCTGGCTTATGATCCATGCTAATTACATTAGGGTGGTCATAAAATCTGGACAGTTAGTTGTTATTACTATTATTATATTTTTTTACAGACTGAACCTCTTTTATTTTTTTCTGGCATATGCTAAAGATGTACATTTATTCAGTGACAATCAAACACATGAATTACCTGAGGCAGTGCTCACAGAAGCACATGCTGCAGTCTAGAGGCTGTCTCACCTTGTTTATTTCTCAGGGATTACTGCCTATGTCCAGTGTTTTGGAAGCTGTTGTTAAATACATTTTATCAGGTTTTTATTTGTTTCAGGTGGGGAAGGGAGATTCATTTTTCTGATATTCCATATTGGCTGGAAGTGCAAACACTCTGTAGTTATTGCAATTTTCCCCAGTACATCGACTAGGCAACATCAATGAAGGACAACACATTGAACATATCATTTAATGTCATGGAGAATATCATGCTTTGTAATGTAATATCAATAAACTATTATTATGTATACATGCCCCATACTCCTTCATCCCTGAACTCCTATGGAGATGAAGAAATATAGAATAGAGGGAGAAGGCGATCCATTTTCAAAAGTCTGAGGTCTCTCTGGAGCCTGGCTCACTGTCAGCACTCAATTGTTTGTTGAGTAATTGATGGAGGTGTGCAGGCTGACATGAATGCATGCATGTGTGAATGAATCACAGCCACTGGAGGAATGGTTTCTTTACTGTCCCACCCATTCTCTATTGTGCAGACCAAACCCAGGCTCTAGAGCCTTCCTGTCTGGGAGAGACTCTGGGCTCTGGGTGGCAGCATGCCTCCCACAACTCTCTGCCTTGTTCTGGATCATTCCTCACTCCTTAATTCCTTCTTCACTGCATTCTACTTTTAGCCTGATGCTGGGATCCTGTCCCTTTTCCTTACATATTTTTGCAAATGGATTCCTCTTTTAATTTCTTTGACATAACTTTGGCGATTCCCTAGCTTTCAGAAATGTGAGCATCACTTTTAATGAGGTTGTGAATTATCAGAGTATTAGAATGCTGCCCTAGTTTTTGCAAAAAGCATCCAATAGTTTTCTTATTAATAATCTGTATCCTATTATTGCCTAGCCCCAAAACTATCATTGACTAGAAGAAGTGACTTGAATAAGCTTTGTCATTTGTGAAATTAATAAAGCTAATTTTACTAAGAAATTAATGAATAGAGTTGAATACTTTTACATGTTATTGCTAAAATGTGTTCAAAGAAAGCAGTAACACACAATCCAATAGTTTTGAAATGTTTCCAATGTAAGAGTTTTTATTCTGGTTCCACGCTCAGTTAGAGGTACCTACAACAGACTACAGACAAAACTAATTAGAGAGGGATTAAAATCTGCAGAAAATAATAAAGTAGGGAATGTTCAGTCTTGCAGTTCTCATACAAGTTACTAGGTCTTAATTTCAGTCCTAACATTAAATGATAAAATCTCTAATTCATATGAAATAATCCATTTAAAACAAGACTTCAGGCTTGAACTATAACTAACTTCCAAAAAATTTCAAAGTTGTTTGACAGTAATCCATCAGATTAAACTTCTGGGTGAAGAGAGTCTACCAGAAGAATGAGTACAGCCTTGTGAGGCCAGGGGGAAAAACAGGATAAAAAAATAGAAAAGTCAAAACCAATAAGTTCAAACATGTAGGAGATCCAGATGGGGGGTGGCAGGGAAATCTACCTTTGTTACAAACAGGGACAGCAGGGGTGGCATGGAGGAGGGCGGCCTTACCTCGCAGAGGGGCTGGGTCCGCAGTGTCAAGGGGCTGAGGTCTGAGAAGCCCTGAAGGAATGCAGACTCTTTTAAATAAAGCTGCTACTAGACTGCTTAAGGTTTCTCAGTGACGGTCCTTGGCGCTTTGCTGCTGTGGGTGGCTCTAGGAGTGCAGACAGGGCTGCTCAGGTCGAGTGTGGCAGCGATGGTGAGGCTGGCTAACTCCTAAACCTTGGGCTGGGGACCTTCTCTAGGGAAGTGGATGTCAGCATTACTTAAGATGTTAAGAGTTTTTGCTGTACTGGGACCTAAACTGACCCAGAAACTAGGAAGTGATCTCACGTGCACTACTCTTGAGAGAGATTTCAGGGTGTTCCAGAGATAAACAATGTCGTCCCCCTCCCATCTTGGGCTTGGGGTATCTCTTGGGGAAGGACTCTTGGAACCTGTTGCCATGTAAAGGGTTGTCTGAGTCTGAGGACACCACTTCCAGGAGAGGCAGCCTTTTGGCAGGTTTCTTTTTCTTTCTCCTAGGGTTCTCCTGTCTCAGCTCTCGTAAATCTGGGGCACCAGCTTCCTTGGCTGGCATAATAAGGAACGCTGAGTTCTTCATGTCCACGTTCTCCCTAGAGAGCAGAAATTAGGTTACCTTGGTCTTGACAACTTCTGTCTCTAGAGAGAGATGTAAGCCAAGAGATAACAAGCGTTGGGGGCAGGGATGTGGGGAAAAGGGAACCCTTGTGCACCATTGGTGGGAATGTAAATTGGTGCAACTACTGTGAAAAATAGTAAGAAAGCTCTTCAAAAAATTAAAATTTTTTTAGCATACAATCCAGAAATTCTATTTCTGGGTATTTATTTAAAGAAAATGAAATTAATATCTTGAAGAGATATCTGCTCTCCTATGTTCATTGAAGCATTATTCACAACAGCCAAGAAAATGGAAGTGTCCATCAATGGATGAATGGATAAAGAAAATGTAATTATATATATATATATATAATTACATATATATATAAATGCATATCACATATATATAATGGAATATTATTTAGCAGTAAAAAAGAAGGAAATCTTGCCATTTGTGATTACATGCATGGAACTTGGGGGTATTATGCTAAGTGAAGTATGTCAGGAAAAGACAAATGCTGTATGATTTCTCTCACATGTGACAGTTCAAATAAGCCAAACTCAGAAACTCTACTCACAGAAACAGACTAGAATGGTGGTTGCCAGATGCTGGGGGTGGAGGTGAAAGAAGTGGAGAGATATTGGTCAAAGGGTCCAAAAAAAAAACAAAGAAAATACGCTGGACAATTTATCCAGAAATGTTATCTTTCCAAGAAAGTGTCCTGGGAACACCTGGATCTCATTTCAGTTGTGCCATCGTGGCACACCATTTTGGGAACGCGCCTTTTTTGAGCTTTCTGGGTATGTTAAGGACACTAGATGCCTGGTGTTATATTTTGTTCCCATAATCAGTACCTGCCACCTTGATCACCCAGCCTTCTTTCTGACTAACTTTGATGATGGCTGCTTCAGATCCTTCTGGAAATTGTCAAGAAAAATTAATAGAGTGGGAAAAGATTTTAATTATTTCTAAAGAGAAAAATTCCATTGATCAAATCCCTCTTCAAAGGAGTAAGATTTACCACATGTTATACTGATTAAAGACAGACTCAAACATTCTGGAGGTAATTTCCAAGAGAGATTAAAACATGGATTTGACAATTTCACACCCATTAAAATAGATATTATCAAAAAGAAAATAAACAAAATAAAAAAATAACAAGCGTTGGCAAGGATATGGAGAAACTGGAACCCTTGTGCACTGTTGATGGGACTGTAAAATGGTACATCTGCTGTGGAAAAACATTGTGGCAGTTCCTCAAAATATTAAAAATAGCCCTGGCTGGTTTGGCTCAGTGGATTGAGGGCCAGACTGTGAATCAAAGGGTTGTGGTTCAATACCCCATCATGGTGCGTGCCTGGGTTGTGAGTCAGGCCCCCAGTAGGGGGGCACTCAAGAAGCAACCATACATTGATGTTTCTCTCTCTTCCTCCCTCCCTTCCCATCTCTAAAAAGAAATAAATAAAAATAAAAATAATTAAAAATAGAACTACCATATGATTCAGGAATTCCACTTCTGGTTACATACCCACAGGAATGAAAGCAGGGACACAAACAGATATCTGTACACCCAATGCTCATAGCTGCATTATTCACAATAGCCAAAAGGTGAAAGCAACCCAAGTGTTCATTGACAGATAAATGGGTAAACAAAATATTATATACACACACAATGGAATGCTGTTCAGCCCTTAGAAAAGGAAGTCTAGCATTTGATATAACATGGATGAACCACGAGGGCATTATGCTCAGTGAAATAAGCCAGTCAAAAATGACAAATACTGTCTGATTCCACTTATATGAGGTTCCTAGAGTAGTCAAACTCATAGATACAAAGTAAAACAGTGGTTGCCAAGGATTGGGGGGAAGAGGGAATGTGGAGTTAGCATTCAATAGTTACAGAATTTCAGTTTGGGATGATGAAAAAGTTCTGAAGATGGATAATGGTGATGGTTGCACAATAAGTTCAGTACTTAATGTCACTGAACTGTATGCTTAAATGATTAAAATGGTATAGTTTATGTTATTTTTGTACATTTAACCATAATAAAAAAGAATGACCTGAGCAATAGCAGTAGCATTGGAAAAAAGCTTCCCAGGAAGCCACTACTAAAATTACCTTTAAATATATGGCCAGCACCTGTGTGAATGTATAGGTTCTGTGAGGTCAGGTTCTCAGAGACTCATCTTGAAGTCACACCACCAGGTTGTAATTACCAGCCTTGTTCTTTGAAATATAAAGTCTCATCTACCACATTACCATCAATTAAACCTCAGATTGTTACCTCCCTTGAGAGCAGACTAGGGTGATACATGAGATTTCCCTTTCAGAGGTTTTTCTGTCTGTCCCATGGATTAGAATTCATCATAGTCCAGTCTCTGACCTATAACCTCTCAGAGAGAATAGCAACAAGGAAAGAGCAGTGAGCAGTAGAGTTTTCAGGTATAGTGAAAGCACCCAAAGAGTGAGGTAAAGGAGAGGACTGCCTACCTACCTGAAGGGCCCCAGGGAAAATATCAATCTTGGAAGGAACCCAAGAAGGAGAGCAAGAAAGAATAAGAAGCAGTGCATGTCTAGCCCTCCACAGGAGATTGGTCACATATTGTTAAGTTATTAAAATTAAATTCTGAGCAGGCAATCAAACAAGAGGTGTCCTTATCATGCAAAGATGCAAATAATATATTGTTAAATGGAAAAAAGTTACAAAACAGAATGTATGCTACATTTTCATTCTTGTTATTAGGATTGTGAATGTATATAAGGATGACTGGAAACCCTTGCATTAGTCTGTTAATAGTTGCCCCCGGGAAATGGATTCCAATAGAATTGTCACTTATCCACATTTAAAACATTTTTTGCAACTGTCATCAATGTCGAACAGAAACAAAGATTTTTATTTTGAGTAAAGAGAATCAACACAGAAAACACTCTAGAAAAATATGTATCAAATATAAATGGTGACTACTTCTGAAATGTGGGACTATGGATTTTTTTATATATTCCTTTGCTTTTTGCTTTTTATTTCTAAATTGCATAACTATGCATTACTTTTGGAACAAGAATAAAGCAATACAAATTGTCATGATTAGAATAAAAAGCAGAATGGGATTTTGATCAAGGAAAAGCATTTACTACCACCAAGCAGATGCTGCTCAGCCACCCTATTACACTCTCCAAAATGACTGATGTTGACCAAGTTCAAGATATTCCATGAGGAAATGTCCTCTTATTGGAGGGTGTGACAGCTCTGGGCCTCCACCCCATGCACCTCATTCGCCTTGGCCCAAATCACCTCTGTGGAAAGGGGTAGGCACTGTGCTCCTGACTCACCGCCAGTGGACATTCTCTGTCAACATGCTGGGAAGGCCCTGCTAACAGCTTTCTTTTGACCTATCTCATACCAAAACTGAGTTAATTAAGTGTCCTATTAATTAACCACAGATTTTCAGGCCACAGATTTGGTTAAATAATATGAGAAATAGACCAACATTGTGTGGGGAAAGGAGCCAGGTACTGTGCCTTTGCTGACTCTTCAGAAGCAGCTGGGTGCTTTGGGGAAGAGAGTGCTGACACCCACTCCACTCTCTCTTGGGTCAAAACCCATCACTTGCTTGGTTCAGCATTGTCAGCTTGCCCATCTTCTCACTGGTTCTGAGGCCTCATTTCTATTCTGCCAACAGTGTGTCTGTGTCAGCAAAGTGTCTTAGAACATAAAAAACAGGACCTGTGGGGTAGGCTCTGAACAGATGTTTGATGAGGACCAGGAGGTACCTGAGTTTTAACAATGGAAGGGGCAGGACAGGGAGAGACTAAGAAAAGGCTGTTGCCACTCAAATTGCCACCATTGGTCCTCAGGGTTAAAGAATATCTGGCTCTTTGTGTTCTCTTATTTCCAATACTAAGGCACCACAGCACAATTTCTGAAAACAGGCACTTTTCTCTCTGGATAGTAGGACACTCACAGACAGGGTTTATTTCTGAGTGCTTGTTTTTTAGGGCTTTGCTCCAGCATAAAAAGTGGGCCTTCTGATCTGGCCAGAAGGGTCCAAGGAAGTAATAACATAGAGAAGCTAAATGAGTCCAGATGCACAGCTCCTTCTAAGGAAAAAGTTGTCAGTAGTGACAGGGAAGTGATTCATCTCATGTAATGTCAGAGGGAGTGCTCAATCTTGAAGTTTCAATTGATGACTTAATACCACTTTTTTTTCAGTAAGACAATGTGAGGTCACACTACAAGGAGAAAAGGGAGGAGTATTAAACAATATGGGAATTATAATTCCCTTTGGGAGATACTCATAAATCCAAATAGCCTGATGGAAAATGACTGAACTACTCAAAGAGAGGTAACAAGAGGGTAATATTTTGTGTAGCAGGAATTGAGAGATGACCACAGACCTAAACAATCCACACCAGAACCCTGGAAGAGGGTCTCCCCTCCTGCGGACTCATGCCCAGCCATGTCCCTAAGATCATACAATTACAATCACACATCAAGGGGAGATCCTTGCATTAAGGATCTCAGTGCCCAACAACCTCCTTCAGATGTCCAGTGATTTTCCTGAAGCACAAAGAAAATAATTAGTCCTATCTCGGTTTCCTGAGATCACACTTATAACTCGCCCTAAAATGAGACTTCTCAAAGAGAATCCTTGGAAGTAATCAGCCCAAGCCTGGCTCTGTCAAAAAAGAAGGGATGATGGATTCCAGCTCTGCCAGGAGGGATGTCTGACAGTCACATGACACTAGGTACATGAATTCAGCTCAGGCCTGACAGAGGTGCCCTGCCCAGAGTGCTTAGTTCCCAGCCTGTGGGTGGTTGATTGAGTAGAGAAAACCAGAAGACAGAGCATCAGACCCACCAGGCACACCTCCCCTGCAGCAGCCAAGGCCACAGCCTTCTGGGGTGAGCCAGGGTTGGTCAGGGAAGAACTCGGGGCTGCAAGTCCATGCCAAATGGGGGAAAACTCCTCCTGGTTCGTTGGTCTCATGGAGTTATTGAGGAGGTCACAAGGGAGAAATTACATGGGTGTTCTCTAACTGGAGAAAGTCATAGACAGGTTAGGCCATCTTTTTACTCAGAACAGACCTCACTGATGCCATGAAAGGTACTGAAGGTAAGGGAAGGCAGTAATTTTCCTCCATCCAATACACACCTCTCTCAGCTGTGCTGTCAGAGAACTCAATTAATCATTTAACAAAGGAAAGAGAAAATCCCTAACAGCCTCATGCAATTTCACATTGCAAATACAGTGATACTAAACCTCTCTCATTTAACAACTAGCTAAGAACTAAGAACTTAGCCAAATGGAGAACATATTTTGCAATCCAACCTTGCTAAAATGTCTTCAAAAATCATTCAAAATCAAATGTCAAATTTTGAATTGAAAATGAAAATTTGCATCAGCTCTGGCCATGTTTAATTAAGTTTGAACCCTTTGCCTTTCAAATACTTCCTTGCTGTCTTCACTGTGCACCCTTCAGTTAGGAACCAGAAGAGGGGCCTGTAGAAAATACTCTCCATTGCCCCAAACTGAAGGCCCCAAGAAGAAAAGAAGGGAGGGCAAAGGATTGATCCTGGTCCATGTGTTGTTTGGGGCCATGTACCCCTTATCTTACCAACCCAAGTGTATGGTTACAGTGGGTTCAATATTTTAAAATTAAATTTAGTCAAATGATGTCCTACTAGAGTTGAAACCTCCAGGACATTTCTTTGATAGCCCTCAAAGAAAACATAAGAGTTTTAAAATTTTTTAATGTTCTCACTTGGTATAAAGGTATGAAGACTTACTAAAGAATGACCAAAAGGAGATGGCACATTGATAAATTGAGGAAGAGCTCCTGATGAGAAAGAACCTACCAGAAGGAAATGCCAGTGTAGAAACAAACAAGACCTCCACCTTTATTTTGTGTACTTAAATCTGCCTACCCTGATTATAGAAACAGAAGCAGATTTAAGTTTGAGTTTAGTGGGTTAGACATGACCTCTGATTAGGAGAATTAAGTGCAGTCTTGTGCCAGCAGACAGGCAGCTAGAGCAGAAAACAGTGGGTATTACAATGGGGAGATTAGGGAATCGACCAACACTTCTACTGTATAAAGCCCTAGAAGATAGGGTAGACAAATAGCAGCTATGAGCTTTGAGTAAGGCCTAGGGTAGTACAATTAAAGGCATTTATCAGCATATAAAGAATTAAAAGTTAATCCTAAAGTAGTAATTGACAATGTTAACTTTAGTGAAAATGGTCAGTCCCTAGATGCATCTATTTATATTCTTTTATAATGTAGTTATAATTTGGATATTATACTGTTTGAGTAGGATTTTCAGAGTACCAAAAATATGCTATTATTTTCAATGAAAATATACTCATCTAGAAAAAGAGTGAAGAGTTGTAGTGTATCTTTTCAATAGTCATATCTAAAGAAAAATCCTCTATGGAACTATGTGCCCCTCAAGGGGCACTGATGGGGATCTTCTAGGATTTGTTTGTTAATTGGTTCATTCTTCAAATAGTCATTGGGTACATCCTGTGAGCAGGACCCTGGCAACCAGGATTTGGAAGGAGGAGAACATGGTCTCTGCCTTCAGGGATTCATGCCCAACAGGAGTGGTGGTTATGACAGTGCAGGTCCCACACAAGGCAAGATTCCTGTATGGAAAGTTTTCCCGGATGCAGGGGGCACCCACTAGCAGGAGGGCTGGCATTCTGGGACACAGAAGAATGGTGGTGATGCTCAAGTTCAATGCTGGAGCTTCTGAGAGGCCAGGCAAAGAACAGCACTCCAGAGAGGGAGTACTTAGCCTGTCTGTGCCAAGACACAGAACCTTAAAAAGCACTGGCATGGGGAAAAAGCTGTAAGTAGTTTGATATAGCCAGTGGGTAGAGGTGGTTCAGGAGATTGGTTGGGGGTGGCCAGGGAGAAGTGAGGCTAGGGAGGCAGGCCTAGGTCCACCAACAGGAGGATAAGCCAGAGTGGGAAGGGCACAAAGGGGAGCTCTGAGTTACGATGAAGTGGGGTCGGGTCATGCACAGGAGGAAGCTTTCTCTCGTCAGGCCTCATGGGACATGGCTAGGACTGTGGCAGAATGAGGCAGGAGGCAGGGCACTCAGGAAATGGGAGTGACTGACCTAAGGCAGCCTGGGTCCAAAAGAGCTGAGAAATATTTGCAAATTAGGATCAATATAACTTGGAAACCAATGGATGTGGGAGGTGAAGGACAAGAAGAAGACCAATATGACTACTAGATTTCTGCTTCGATGATGCTGTTGGTGGAATGTGAACCAAGACAGGGAAGGTAGAGAAGGGAGTAGCAGGTTTATGAAGATCCACTAGGACTTCAGTTTTAGGTGTGTGGAGTTTGAGACTCTGCACCCACAGGCGGATAGCTGGAACTAATCTGATTCCTCCCATGTACTGAGCCCTTGCTTTACCCCAGGCCTGGCAATTACCATCCCCAGTCTTCACTCCACCCTAACTTTACAATGAGGAACAAACTCAGAGACATAAACAACCTGCTCAGGGGCATACAACTGGGGTGGGATCGGGACACAACCCAGGTCTTAGTTCCAAAGCCCTTTCCAGAGTTATCAAGGCTGCGCATCACAACTACACATCCCAGGATGCAAGGGCACAGCAGCATCCTGGGTTGGGGAGGGAACTATGAGGTCCTCAGTGTAAATGTAGTCATGGAAGCAATGGGTGTAGGAGCCAAGAGGCAGTGAAAAAATCCAGAGAGAGGAGGAGACTCAGGACACAGTGTTTAGAGGAGGAGGGAGTGGTTGACCATCATATGCAACCAAGAAAGCAAGCACAGTCACTGAGAACAGACTTCATTGGTGTGAGCATGGGAAAGGTCCTGAGTGGCCCCTTGGGAAGAGTTTCTGCAGAGGAGTGGTGGGGGAGCTGATATCCAAGGTTAGAGAGCAAACAGATGGCAAGAGAGTGGAGACATCAGGGCTCAGACTGCACATATGTTTGGTAGTGATCACACTGCAAGACCAAGGGAGGTCTAATGTTTATGTGTGCATGAGTGCATGCATGTGTGTAAATAGGGGAGACAAACATGGGTTTTCACTGAAGCAAAGGAATCAATGGAGAAGAGCTAAGTAGAGAAGAGAGAAGAATCCAGGATAGCAGATGGTGCAAGAATCCAGGCTACCAGGACACGCCTCTGAAGCCTGGTGGATAGATCAGCTTTGGATAAGAGGACAAAAAGATAGTTTCCAAAAGCCCAGATGTGGGAATATAAAACAGAGGAGAGAATGCCCTATGATTTATGAAGTACACGGTGAGACCTTTGGGAGAATGAAGGTTGGTTGATACCCAAAGGTGGCCCACAAACTCCAAGTGAAGGTGGAGGGGATTTCCTAGATCCCTTTCCCCAGCTCTTGCTCAAAACCCACCTTCACCTCTGAGATCGCGGCTCTGACCCCACCCCTGATGTCCTTGGTTGGCCCCATGAACTTGGGTTTTTGCCTGCTCTCTAGGCCTCAGCTTATTCTTGTTGGCTTTTCCTTTAACACACTTTTCTAGCTTTTAGCAATTATATTGCCTCAGATGAAAATGTATTTACTCTCCTGTAGTTCCTGGAAACCACCACCCACCCTCAAACATTCACCTGGGTACAGGCAAGCCAGGACCAGCACCTCACTCTCGCCCCCCAAGGGGACAGGCAGATGGGTGAGTGGCCCTAATTTCAACGTCATCTAACCTTTCCTTCATAGACTTCATTAGAAGGTCTTGAATCCTTACAAATAAAAAGGGAGTAATTCCTTCATATTCATGAAAGAAAGAATGCTTTTCTGAAAGGTTAGTAAAATAATCTTGGATTTGAGATTAGAACCAGATGGACAAATAGTCAGGAGATAAAAGGTGTGACATTGAAGGAAGAATAACCAGAGAATTACATTTTAAGTAGGAAGTGCCCCTGCTTCTGTTTTTCTCCTCAAGTACTTAGAAATCATTAATCTCAACTCAGAACCTGGTTAAAGGGGCAAAGGTATAAATAAAACTAGGGAGTAGAAAGTTTGGTCCACTTACACTTTTGGATCCTCCTGAACTGGGGGTGACTTTATATGGGAGCAAGAGAGAGCATACTTGTTTTGGCTGATCTTAATAAGTGCACTCCGAGGGCAAAATTCCTGTAATAATATCAAAGAGTTAACTCAATTTAAATCAGACATGTCCACAATTCAGATGTAATTTTATTCTAGCTCAACCTATTATAATAGCTGTTAGCCATTATCTTATTCATAGTGATACTTAAGAGTGCAGTTTAAATACAAAGCCTAGCTTGACAATCATATGATGAATAGAAGTCATCATCATTGAGTCTTCTCTGTCATTTCTCTATATCCTAGATCACTTACCAAGTCCATTTACATAAGTGCAGTGGGTACACACATGCACATTGTTTATAAAACTGCTGTCCTATATTTTGGCCTTGGCTATCTTTTTCCGATTTTATAAGCTATCACCCCCTCGCCCCTGATGAATGCCCCACCTTCAGCCCCATGAGTCTCCCAGCATCTCCATCAGAACTGTTTCCAGTGTCCATTTCACCCCCAACCCCCATCCAACCCTGACCATGACACTCTGGTTTCCAGGGCCCTACTGCCCTGCAGGTAAATCCAAGATCCTTCCTGGGTTCTGAGTCTCTTGCTCAGAGATGCTGAGTCAACTGCTTCATCTCTCCCCATACCCTGGGAACATGTCTAAGGATGTCTCTTCAATTATCTCTTGATTTGCTTTCTCCTCTCTTGCCTGGTAGGTACACCCAGAGCAGTGCCACCTGGTGCGCTTCCAGGCTGCTTCTTGACTGTCATCCAAATAGCTCCAGGAAAGTCCATTTTTTCTCAGGGGTTTCCTGAGTTGAAGAGAAGATACCCTTCCTCCCTCTTGTTCTGTCAGATTGGATTCAATGTCTCTGTGCTCTCTGGCTCTGATGGTCTTCATCTTTTGCCCTTAATCCTACAATTCACTTCCCATGATACCCTCCCTGGTGAATATCCTCATACTACAGTCAAGAATTGACTAGATATTTTTATTCTGTAGAGTAGACAGTCAGACACATGAAGCCAGACTGCCTGGGCTCAAATACCTGTTCTGTGTTTACCCTGTGTGTGACTTCATCTCTCTGCTTCAGTTTCCTTATCTGAAAATGGGGGTAAAGACAGTGGGATTTTGAGAGCAGAGTGGGGACTCCCTTGACCACACAGCTTAGGAGGCAGGAAAGAAAGAGGTAGCAGCCATGCAGGTGGCTCCCCCTGATTACAGCATGTGTGCATGAGAGCTCAGATGATTTGCTCCACATCACAAGGGAACAATACGAAGACCATGCAGGAAGGAAGGGGAGAAAGGACTCTTGCTAGTGGACCATGAGGACCTGGTCCATGAGGACCAGTTCTGAATTAAGAACTGGAGATCGCAGTTCCCACTTCACATGTTCCGAACACTCAATTGTTCACTATGGGTAAAGCACTTGGATTTTAGTACCTGTGGCATGTACTAGGTACCTAATAAAGTTAGCCACTATGAGTTTATTTGCTCCTTTTTGCTCACCAATATATTTTCCAGACATTAAGTAGTCCATCCAAACAAAGTTATTAGTACCTGTGGCATGGTTCATTTCCATTAGAAAGAGCATTTATTCAAATAATTTAAAAAGCAATTGAATTGGGAGAACCTTCTCTTCATCAGGGGCTGTGTCATGGAGCAAAGACGACTAGGCCACAGCTCCTGCATGTAAGGAGTTGGGAGGTTGGTGAGGAAGCCAGTGTGGGGAGAGGGCAGGACAGTGTGCAGGGGACCCTGAGGGCCTCAGCAGAAAATCACAACTGTATTGAATCCTTCAAGTGACAGGAGTGTCCAAGGAAAAAAGATGGGAAAGGCAGTCCAGGAGAAGTTAGAGCCCAGGGCCTTGGAAAAGGCTACCGGGTTCAGGTAGCATCCATCCTTGGGGCTGGGAGCCAAGCTCACAAGGCAGGCCAAAATGTGCTGGTGTCAAGCTATGTTATTTCTTAGACTCTTTCATCTTTTTAAACCAGTCCCTTTTGCATATCTTGCAATGCTGGTTTGGTGGAGGTGTATTCTTTCAGCCTTCTATTTTCTGGGAAACTCCTTATTTCACGTTCCATTTTAATTGAGAGCCTTGCTGGATAGAGAAGTCTTGGTTGTAGGCCTTTGCTTTTCATTACTTGGAATATTTCTTGCCATTCCCTTCTGGCTTGCAGTGTTTCTGTTGAGAAGTCAGCTGCTAGCCGTATCAGGGCTCCCTTGTGTGTTACTACCGGTATCTCCCTTGCTGCCTTTAGGATTCTCTATTTGTCTTTGATATTGGCCATTGTAGTGATGATGTGTCCTGAGGTTGATGAGTCTTTGAGTGGACCTCATTGGGTACCTCTTGAATGGGACCCTCTGTGCTTCCTGGACTTGTGTGACTTTTCCTCTCGTCCAATTAGGGAAGTTTTCCATCATGACTTTTTCAAACAGGTTCTCTATCCCTTGTTGCTCTTCTTCTGCTTCTGGTATCCCTATTATACAGATATTATTAAGTTTCAGGTTGTCCTGCATTTCCCTTAATGCCTCTTCATTCTTTTTCAGTCTTTTTTTCATTTTCTTGCTCTTTCTGGGAGCTTTTTTCTACCTTGTTCTCCAGCTCACTGATTTGGTCCTCAGCTTCATCTAGCCTGCTTTTGATTCCTTCTGTTGTGTTCTTCAGTTCAGAAATTGTACTCTTCATTTCCTCTTGTCTCTTATTGATAGTTTCTATGTCCTTTTTCAGGCTGATATAGTTTTCAGTAAGTTCCTCATAATTTCCCTGCAGTTTTTCATAATTGTCTCTGAGCTCACTGAGCTCATTGAGCTTTCTTAGAACCATTGTTTGGAACTCAATATCTGATAGTTTACTTGCCTCTATTTCATTTAGTTCTCTTTATGGGGATTCCTCCTTTCCCTTGGACTGTGGTGGTGTTTCTTTGTCTTCCCATTATATGTGAGACTCTTCTTTTTTGGTTCTGCTTCTTAAATTGATCTGTCTTGATTTCCTGATTTTGTGATGTGAACTTATATGGTAGGAGACCACTGTTTTTTTCTTTCTGGATCTACCTCTGATGATGTCAGATGTTGACCCTGTTCCTTTCACAGCCACCAGTACTTGATATTACCAATATTTTTAATACTTATTAATCTGATTGTGACAATGATGTGTTATTTTAATTGTTCCTTTATTATTTGCTGAAACTAAACCTGTTTTTGTATATTTATTGCCTATTTCTATTATTTTAAAAAAAACTTTAAATGACTTTTTGGTATTCTTTTTCCATTTTTTGATTAAATATTTGTAGAATTTTTTCCCTAAAAAAACCCTATTAACCCTTTTATAGATGTGTTGCAAATACTTTCCTATTCTATTATTTGTCCTTTAACTTTTTAAAAATATGTATATTAGTATGTAGCCTTAAATGTTTAATATAGTCATATTGTCAATATTTTACTTTATAGCTTCTGGGTTTGAATATTTTACTTCAGGGTAAGAAAAACATTAGTTCGCATTTTCTCCCTAAAACTCCTTAGATTTTACATATTGATTTTTAACTCACCTGAATATTTTTTGTGTGAAATAGGGCTCTATATTTGTTCTATTTCAAGTAATAGTGGTCTATGCACCTTATTTGTTGAATGAGGCTTATTTTCCTCATTGATTTGAAATATCAATTTAATCATATATTCCATTATTAGACAGGTATATATGTTTGTTTTTTGAAGGCTCATTTTATTTCATTGATCTACTTGATTATTTCTGTGATGGTGTCATGTTGTTTTAATGGCTGAGACTTTATAATGGTTTAAAATTTTTTAATACTTTATAATGGATTTTAAAAAATTAATTGATTTATTTTTTCAACTACATTTGTCTCTGCCTTCCCTCCACCACTTTCCCTTGCCCCTCCTCAACTCTATCCCTTTGGTTTTGTCCATGAGTCCTTGCTATATGTTCCTTGACTTTCCCCCTTCCCTTCCTTTTCCCCTGTATAATGGATTTTGATGTGTAAAAAATAAATAAAATCAATCTTCATTAAAAAAAAAAGAATAAAGAAGGAACTCCTATCTTTTGTGACAACATGTATGGAACTGGAGAGTATTATGCTAAGTGAAATAAGCCAGTTGGTGAAAGACAAATACCATATGATTTCACCCACAAGTGGAATCTATTCAACAATATAAACTAATGAACAAAATAAACCACAGGCAAGGAAACAGGGAGCAGAATGAAAGTGACCAGAGGGGATGGGGAAGGAGAACAATGGTGGAAAGATGAAGAAGGAACTAAACAAAGAACATGTATGAATGACTCATGGACACGGACAGCAGAGTGGGACTTGACTATGGGAAAGTGGGGGGAGGGGTGGGATGGGTGGAGGAGGGCAAAGGGGAAAAAACTGAGACACCTGTAATAGAATAAACATGACTTAAATATAAAAAATAAAAAAATAGAATAAATTATAATTTCCAAAAAAAAGCTATGCTGTTTCTTCTTTTTAAAATTTTCAATTACAGTTTACATTCAACATTATTTTGTATTAGTTTTGGGTGTAGAGCAGAGTGGTTTGACAATCATATACTTTACAAAGTGGTCCCCCAATATTTCAGTCACCCAGCTAGCACCATGCGTAGTTATTACAATATTATTGACTATATTCCCTTTGTTGTACTTTACATCTCCAGAGTTGCACTGTTTTTTGTGGTTGATGGGCAATGTTGTGTCTTGGAGAAAGGAACATCAGGCAGGCAAGTGACATCATCAGATTTATAAACTGATGAAGATTTTTTCTAAAACTTTTAGGAAAAATACACTGGGAGGACTGTCAGGGAAGCATAAGGCAGGGAGGGGCTTTCTGAGTAGTGGCAGGGAAGCAAGAGAGAGAGTGAAACTATAAGAACGGGAGAGACCCTGAATAAGCCAAGTATGCTCCCAGCTGTGAATGCAGAGTGGGACCTAAGAAGGCCATTTAATGGAAGAGTGGGAGGTGGGGGTGGAGTGGCATGGCTATTGTAAGGGAAGATTTATGTCGCAGAGAAGGCTGAATCCAAGTCTCAGGAGGAAATAGATACAGCCAGGAAAATCATTTCTTCAAGACACCTGGCAGAGCCAGGAAAGAGCTAGAAAGGCAGTGGTAAAGAAGCCACTTCCTGCCTTGTGACACAGTCCTTTTCTGAACATAGTTCTACTTACTCTCCGGTTGTTACACTTCAAAACTGTGTAGAATTTATCTGCAGCCACATCCTGATTTGGAACTGCTATGACAATGGCAGGGACATAGAAGTCAAATCCGTTGGGAATCACAATTTTGGCAAATACATAGTCTCCAACCTGTAGGTTAGATCATATTTCATAGCATACATTTAGCTTATAGCCCTTATAGACAATATTAATATATGCTTGTTCTAAATACCCCAGGGTTCTAAGTTTTATATACATAATTTTTTCTAAGAACCAATAGTTCTAAAATTCTTTGTATTCATTGGGCTATACCTGGAATTTAGTGATTGGTTTGGGGAACCCACATGGTATATACCAGGACTTTTTCACCCAACTAGGGTCCCAGGGATAGCCAAACAAGATGGTGAAGGGTCTGGAAACATATTCTGCTAAGACTGATGGAGGGAACCTGGAAGGTTTTGCATGAAGACCAAAGAGAGGTATGAACATTGACTTCATGTAACTGAAGGGCTGTCAGACTGACCCAGGAAAGGAGCAGGTTTGTTGAACATTGCTCTAAGCTCACAGCGGGACTCCATGGGTAAAAGTTACAGAGAGAGAGAGCTTCTAGCAGAAAGGACACCTTGGGAAGGGACACACAGAGGCTGCTGGGCATTTGTCAGGAGAAAGTGCACTGATCTGTACCCTGGGTCTGGCCTGGGGAGGTGGGAACAGACAACCAGGTGACATCCTCTGCATGCACTCAATGCTTTTCTCCTGGCTCACACTCTGAGAAGCCACAGCAGTGGAGTTCTGGGGAGCTTCCTTTACACTTTCTGGTTTGGTGTCAAGTAAAGTATGACTTCTGCCCTTGTTTTAAATCTATCTTACTAGATTTAAACTCCTTTGCAGTTCAAGTTTCAAGAGCAGTAGCAGGTACAGCAGCTCCCTTCTCTGACAATCTATGATCTGTAGTGTTAGCAAATCAGGGCCATGAACAAAGGGCTCCAGGCAAGGGGTTATAGGAACAGGAGCCATTGCTATAGTCCAAGTGCATACCCTCTGCAGGAGCCCAGTCAGAGCTCAACAAAGGGCCCAACAGCAGTCGCACCATTCTTAGAGTGCCAGAAATGGTGTAAAAGGATCCGGAACAGGTGCTAGAGCAGGTACCTGGAGCAGTGGGCAGGGCATGGCGCCACCCACAGGCGTGATGAATGAGATGGGCACAACCTTGGTGTCTCCGTACCTGAAGCCTACCAGTGCATGGGTTGGGCTTATGCACTTCTTCACGACCCCTGGAAGGAATCAAAGTTAAAATAAAATGTGAAGATCAGTAATGTCTATTCACTTAAACTGGCCCCATGCTGTTGACTGGACTGAATTATAACACTTTGCCTGTCTAGATCAGTGTGCCTCCTTGATATCTCCACCAGATAGCCTTGCACAAACTGGGGATGGGGTGGGAGAAGTGCAATGCTCTGGTCTGAGCATTGCTGAGCTGGGCACCTGCAGAACGCACACAAGGTTACTCTTCCAGGTTACTAGCAACCATCCTGATGGGACACGTTGTTCTTAGAAACAAATATCCTGATCCTGGACACTTCCTACAATCTCGTTTCCCTATTTATTTATTTTAGCCGTATCCCCTTCAATATCTACAGCTTAAATATTGAAAATCAATGCTTAGATATTGAAAATCAATGTTGTTAAATTGTGGAAGTGAAAAGAAAATATGAACTCTCACTACAGGCTTTTCATTAGTATTAGGTAACTGCGTTGAAGTACATCCCACAGCTTCCCTAAAATGTACAACCAAAAAGGGTGAGGACCCAGAGCTGGCTGGTTGTTGCTGCCACCTTGGGAATCGGGGCACAGATTCCCATCTGGCTGTGTTCCAGAGTCTGTGTGTATTATCTAGTTAAGGAATAATCACATTGTTTAGAATGGACATGACAAACTGATGACCTGGCTTATCAGGGTGCTGAAAGGCAAACAGGAAGACACATTTTCTCTATTTCCCCAGACTGGCAGCAATAGGTCTTCAGCATTTTTTTCTTTTCTCTTTTTTCTTTCTCTCTTTCTCTTTTCCTCTCTCTTTCTTTCTTTCCCTCCCTCCCTCCCTCCCTCCCTTCCTTCCTTCCTTCCTTCCTTCCTTTCTATCGCACAGAGATGGTGCTGAGGAAAATTTTGAGCCAATTTACTTTTCTCTGGGACTCTGGCCATAAACTGATCCCAAGCCTTTAATCTAGTCATTTGGGATCCAGTCCTTTTTAGCATTTTCATTCAACTGCTAAATTTGCCTTGAACCCCTCTCCAGGGCTCAAAATCAGAATACCAAGCAGGGATAGCCTCTTAAAATCACCTCCCAGCAAATCTGAGCCCCAGAAATATGGCAGGTTTTTGCACCCTATGCTTGCAAAGAAGAGTTCTGTGCCTGGGCCTATGAGTTCATCTCAAATGCTCAGACCCATAGTCACACTTATCCAATCCACCTCAAAACACATTTATCAAATTTCAAAGAAATGTCCTAGTTGTCAGTTCTACACATACGCCTACTGGAAATCAACTCTTACTGAAGCAGTTTTCCCATGTAAAAAAGATTTAATTAAACATAACAAAGAATTTTTCTTTTAATTCTGAATATAAAGAGGAAATCTGGAGATAGAGATTTTGAGACATCAACACAAAAGTAGTGCACTTACAATTCATTGTCCCAGACACACCTCATTATTTTCCCGTCTGCACTACCATCTCCGGTAGGTATCACCATCATCTTAGAGCACAAGACAGGGTCCTGAGTGACATCCTAACCCATTCCTTATCCTCTCCTCACACAGCAGAGGGAGCACCTTTTATACAACTTCAAGTGTGACTGTGTTTCTTCCTGCTTTAAATGTGGCTCCTCGATAAAATCCACACTTTTTAACATTAACCCTTAATAAATGGCCCCACATTTATGTACCTCTCTGAAGAGCCCCATTATTTTCTTTTTAATGTATATTTTCTTAATTATGATATTACAGTTCTCCCATTTTTTCCTCCCCTTTATTCCCTTTCCCGCTGCTCCCCCCCTCCAAGACTCCTCCTGCTCTTAGTTCATGTCCACGGGTCATACCTGTAAGTTCTTTGGCTTCTCCATTCCTACACTACTCTTAACCTCCCCCTGCCTACTTTGTACCTGCTATTTATGCTTCTTATTCCCTGTACCTTTTTTCCCATTCTCTCCCGTCCCCCTCCCCTATGATCTCCATTACTGTGATTCTGTTCCCATTCTAGTTGTTTTTGTTTTTGTTTTCTTTAAGTTCAGTTCTTAATAGTTGTGAGTTTGTTGTCATTTTACTGTTCATAGTTTTTGATCTTCTTTTTCTTAGATAAGTCTCTTGAACATTTCACATAATAAGGGCTTGGTGAAGATGAACTTCTTTAACTTTACCTTACCTGGGATGCACTTTGTCTGCCCTTCCGTTCTAAATGATAGCTTTGCTGGGCTATAGGCTCTTGCCTTTCATGACTTTGAATACTTATTGTCAGTCCCTTCTTGCCTGCAGGGTTTCTTTTGAGAAATCAGCTGATAGTCTCATGGGAACTCCTTTGTAGGTAACTGTCTCCTTTGCTCCTGCTGCTTTTAGGATTCTCTCCCTATCTTTAATCTTGGGTAATTTAATCACGATGTGCCTTGGTGTGTGCTTCCTTGGGTCCAACTTTTCTGAGACTCTCTGAGCTTCCTTGACTTCCTGGAAGTCTATTTCTTTGGCCAGATTGGGGAAGTTTTCCTTCATTATTTTTTCAATTAAGTTTTCAATTTCTTGCTCTTTCTCTTCTCCTTCTGGCACCCCTATGATTCAGATGTTGGGACATTTAAGGTTGTTCTGGAGGTTCCTAAGCCTCTCTTCATTTTTTTGAATTCTTGTTTCTTCATTCTGTTCTGGTTGAATGTTTATCTCTTCCTTCTGTTCCAAATTATTGATTTGAGTCCCGGTTTCCTTCCCTTTACTGTTGGTTCCCTGTATATTTTTCTTCATTTCACTTTGCATAGCCTTCTCTTTCTCCTCTATTTTGCGACCATACTAAACCTATTCAGTGAGCATCCAGATTACCATTGCTTTGAACTGTGCATCTGATAGGTTGGCTATCTGTTCATTGTTTAGTTCTATTTTGGGAGCTTTGGTCTGTTTTTTTCATTTGGGCCATATTTCGTTGTCTCAGCACACCTGTTATATTGGAAGGGGCAGAACCTTAGGTATATGCCCAGGTGAGGCAACCCAGGTCGCTGCACTGTGACAGTGTGTGTGGGGGCAGGGTCCAAGAGGGAACACTGATGCTTGCTAGGCTCCCACCAGCTCTCTGTTACTTCCCATGCTACCCATAAGCCAATTGGGCTCTTCTGGTGCTGATTCCCAGGTGGGTTGGTCTGTGTACATTCTAGGACCCCATGGGTCTCTCCTTTGAGGCTGGGAGTTTCTCCCGCTGCAGCATCCCCTACAGATTTTTACAGTCACAGGTTTTGATGCTTTCTTTTCCTGCACTGGAACCCTGGGTTGTGTGGTCTGTCTTGCTCTCCAGCTGTTCCTCCCAGTTTTCCCACACACAAAAGTGGGACCACTGATCCACCAGCCACTACCTCACCCACCGCCTTGCCGCACGTCCTTCACCCTTGCTGCCCGTCTCCACCTCTCCTACTGTTCTGGATGAATGCTTCTTCTTTAACTCCTTGGTTGTTGGACTTTCATACAGTTCAATTTTATGGAAGTTCCAGTTATTGTTTGTTTTCAGATTTTTTTGTTTCCCTTATTTTGGTTATGCGAGCAAGCAAAGTATATCTACCCATGCCTCCATCTTGGCTGGAAGTTCTTACCCTTGAGCCTCGTTATTTTATACCCTTCCTTTGACTTCTAGTTCCAGCTATGAAATGTCAGTGTTCTAGGGAAAGCACAGTTTGAGAACCTCTGGCCTCTGTAACACATTGTTTAACAAAGAAATCTTACAAAATAATATATCTACCTGGAAAATAAAAGCCATTTTCTTCACATCTTGCAATAACCTTCTGGCCTTTGAGGTGATCCAATTTTTTGGATTTGATTTTCTTTGTTGAATTTCCTTGAAATTTCTGTTGCTAAAAAGATAAAACATTAATAATTGACAGAAAAAGTCAATGTAGGCAGTGAAAATGACACATTTAGGTATCTTAGGATTCTCTGATGAGAACCACAGCGCATACATGTAGCGGTCACTTTCTGGGGAGCTTCTTGTTCTCTGTTGTTGGGAATAGGCTTTTAACACTGAACTGACTTGAGAACCTTGCCTACATGAAGTGAGATAGAATTCTCTGTCTAAATCTAATTAAGTTTTGTTAAAACAAAACTAACCAAAAAAAGTTAACCTTTTTCAGAGAATTTAAACAGAATTTAATATTTTAAATTTTAGAATTATATCCTAAAACATAATATTCAATATATCCATTATATAATCCAAAATGCAACATATAAAAAAAGCAAGCCAATATGACCAGTTCTCAAGGTACAAAGCAATCAATAGGTCAAAATACTAAGATGACCCAGGTGTTGAAATAATCAGATAAAGACTTTAAATCAGTAATTATAACCATAGCCGAGGATATAAAAGGCAAACACTTCTGAAGAATGGCAATGTGTTTTCAATAGAGAAATAGAAAATATAAAAACAATGAAATGGAAATTTTAGAAGGAAAAAATATAACATCTGGAAGGGCTCAATAGAAGAATTGATATGACAGGAGAGACACATCAACAGAAATTATTCAATCTGAAGAACACAGAGAAACAAAGATTTTTAAAAATGAGCAAGGTCCATCCTGTTTCAGATAATCCCTAAAAGCCCAGCTCAGTTATAATCTCCCTGGGAAGATTTTACCAGGCAGTTTCAGAAAAGTAAAGATATATCCTTACAAAGAATATTACTTAACCACTTATATGTGATATGTACAGAAAAGGCAAATTTATTGCTTAGTGGTTACCTGAGACTGGGAATGCAAACAGACTGACTGCAAATTAGCATGAAGATATTTTGTTGGGTGAAGGAAATGTGCAAAAACTGGATTGTGGTGGCTGTTGACAGCTCAGTCAGTTACTAAAAATCTCTAAATTGAAATAGGTGAAATTTATGGTCCCAAAATTATATTTTTATAGGTCTGTTTTTTTTATGGTAGCCATTTATTTATGGTTTGCTCCACGTGAACACTCATGGTATTCTGCATAAAGTGGGCAATAGGAGCAGATGAATACAGAAGCTTCAGTAAACTAACAAACAGACACAGACTCATAGATACAGAGAACAGACTGACAGCTGTTGGTTGTGGGGTTGGGGAGCTGGGTGAAAAAAGTGAATGGATTAAGAAAAAAAATCTTCATAGACACAGACAACAGTATGGTGATTACCAAAGGGAAAAGGGGGTGGGGGGAAGTAGAAGAGGGTATGGGCAGGGGATAAATGGTGACAGAAGGAGACTTGACTTGGAGACAATATTTATTATAGGATGTATTATAGAATTGTAAACCTGAAACCTATATTATTTTATTAAGCAATGTCACCTCAATAAATTCAGTGAAAAGTAAAATAAATAAATGGGAAAAAAGTATATCAAATAGGCCTTTTTTTCCAAATTGCTACATTATAGAAAGTGGGGATTTTCCTTCCTAGATTATTTACCCTTTCTTGACCATTAATGTACTAATTCTTGGGTTTCTCAAAGAAATTAGTCTTTCTTCCCAATGAGATTGCCCATCAACATCATTCTCCAGCTCTTCCTCTTTGCAGACCATCAAACGTCCCTCCTCTCTACAATACAAAGCCAACATCAGGTATTTTCACATGTATTTTGAAGTCACTTGTTTGCAGTGCAAATGCTATATCATAAATAAAGTATTAGATGCATATTCTATGAGGTCATCTACAGGATTGCACTTAAGCAATTATCTAATTTATGAGGCAATTGACTACAAAAGTTTTAAAAACTTCAGGTGGTCTGAACACCATTTGCTCTTGGGTCATTATTCAAGTTTGGTACAGTTAGGATATAGAGGGCTCACTTCCATGGTGCCCTGAGGTAACTGGGTTCTGTTGTAGCATTTATGAGTCAGACCTGTTTGGACATGCTTTCCAGGTTCATTAAAACAAGTGGGAGTATGGTTGATTTCCTGGGAGATGAAAACTTAGAGCCAGGTCCTCAGAAGTGAAGAAATAATGACTTAAGGGGTCAGATTCTCTTTAAGGAATTGTGGGATAGTATCAAATCTTCAGCCTATGCAACCAGGGACAAAAATGTCAGATAAATACAATCCTTTGCTTTATGATGTTCCCATTAAGCTGGATTTTGCTGGGATACCTCCATTCTCATGGAATTTCCATTTTTACTAATGCAGCGAGTATGTCAGCATCTCTGGTTTATGGTAAATGTTATCTGCTTGTTCTTGGGTGTCACCCAGAGGAGGAACCTAAGCATGCCTTCCCATGGGAGATTCAGAATGACCCGAAGTCTGAAATAGCCTCAAAGGAAGGAACCTGACCAAGAGCCAGGAGAAACAGGACTGAGTGCTCCCAGCTGGTTGTATGACTTTGGGCAACCTTTTAACCTTCTTGAGCTTCAGTTTCTGCATATGCAAAGTGAGGGAATGGTCTAGGTGATCTCTAACATCCTCTAGTTCTATACTTTTGTCCAGGAGAATCTAGGCCTTATTAGGCTTTCCTGTATCACAGGAGAAATAGTCAGGCCACGTATAAACTGGGCAGGAACATAAGAACTAATCCTTGTTTGCAGTTTTTACAATTTGAGGGAAATGTACTAGCCAGTACTAAGAATATGAATAGCACAATTTCCAGGCATCAGATTCCAAAGAGGTCCACACCAGTTTCTTACAGTCATGTCAGATCCATGTAAAGTTTTCCAACAGATCCATGTAGTTTCTAATTATTGATAGAATTTAAAATTGAGAGTCTGGAACCTGACAAATTAAATCAATTGTTACTTAAAAACCTTTTTATAAAGGTAAACTTCCATAACGATTACCTTTACATAAGGTTAATTTCCACGGCTGCCTGCTTCATACCACCAGTATTCACAGCAAAGACAAATTGGCCAGGTAGGTGCTACTGGTCACAGAGGCACCAGATAGCTTCTCTGCCTCCAGATAGATAATGTGTTATTTCAGAAAGATGTCACATTGATTCCAGAAAGATTTTTTTTTCTGCTTTAGAGTTCATCAACATAGCAGAGAAGCCATTTATTATGAACTATTCCTAGATACATTTAAAGTTCCTTTCCAAAATTCTAAATGAGTATAATTATATAATTTATTTATCTAGCCACATTTTCTTTCATGTCCAAATATTGATTTGATTCTCTCAATATCCTAGCCTGAAGCTAACCAATGAGATTGTTTTCTACACTGTCACAGGTACAAATCTCTGTGAAGTTGCCCAAAATCATAAGAGAGCTCTTTTTTTGTCCCTATAGTTGTCACTCCCCAATTCAAGTGATACAAGACAACCACCCACTCTGAAAAGACCTTCTGGCATGGGCAACAAGATGAATGGTAGCTCTGCAGAGTGTTTCATGTTCATTTTTACACAATGAATATAGCACCTTAAAAAAAAACTTCTAAATGCTTAAAAAGTATCCTCCTTCAAATCATTTATCAAGGTCAAAAAGACCTTACAGGGAAATGTCAATCAGGATTGGCAATCTCCTGCCCAGTCCCTCTAGTCCTTGGGGTTATGACACATTATAAATTAATTGGAAGGCTTTGGTGTGCTTTCCTTTCTAGAGCATTTGTATTTTAACAAGAGGCAAACTACTATGATAAAGGAGTGAAGCTCTAAGTAGAAATTTCTGTCTCAGCCCTGCCCTTTCGAAGAGGGAGATAAGTCTCCTCGCAAAACCTCTCCCAAGCACAGAAGGTTGACATTGGGGCTCTTGGGGACACTAGGGAAAAGGCATGTGAGTCCAAGGCTTGACAGGGAAGCTGCAGACAGGAGGGCATGCAGGGAGAATTATCATCTCTTTTAAGAAGTCACACTGATCTCCACCCAGGACCAATCTGGAATTACAACTAAATTGTGGAAAAATCACTTGGAACAACTGAAAAATACTGAGAGAGGGACCTCATAACCTTGTACAGATGGAAGAATCAGCTTTATCACAACCTAACTGGTAAGGAGTGCGGTAGAGATTCAAGGTGAGTGGGGCAAACATGGGCGGCAGCACCAGAGAGATATTGAAACAGCCGGTTGGATCCCCCTGAGAAGAGCAGGTTCTAAACCATAAGTGGGGATCACCAGCCTATAGCACTGGAACCCAAAAAGTACACAGATAACAATGAGCTGCAAAAAGTGGCAGGGTTGCTCTCTACCAGAGATGGGCAGCTGAAGACCCAAAGAGCCTTTTAAAGGGCCAACGCATAAATTTTTATTTGCAGCCACTTAGCCTGGTCACCAGCAAAGGTGTGGGCAGAGTGGGCTAGAGATGCCTGAGGAGAGATTGGGGGAGGAGGCTTTGGGGAGAGAACTGAGAGAGTAGCCGGTGGGATCCCAGTGCTGACTCCTCCCACATACGGCAGTAGCCATCTTGCTCAGGCAGACTATTCCCCTGAGCAGCAACAGTGTGAGAGGACCCAATAGCCCTGCCCCCAGGAGGGACTCTGCCCTGGACCAGTAGTGCTAAAGCCTGACTGCTGAGTACAGAGTGACAGCCGCAGATAATAGATCCCTGGCTAAAGGGGGTGCAGAATAGTCTAGAGACATTTGAGGAGAGACTGGAGACAGAGACTTTGGGGAGAGAATGAAGAAGGTAGCCAGTCGAATCCCAGTGCTGACTCCTCCCCCATATGGCAGCAACCGTCTGGCTCAGGCAGACCACTCTCCTGAGAAGCAGTAGCGTGAAAGGACCCAATAACCCTGCTCGCAGGAGGGACTCTGCTCTGCTTTTTGGTGTGTAAGCCTGATGGCTGAGTGCAAAGTAACTAGATTAACAACTGAAGGAGACAGCCACAGACAGGAGATTCCTGAAAGTCTTGAATAGACTACCTAAGGTCAGACATGGTCAACATCTGACATCATCAGAGGTAGATCCAGAAAGAAAAA